GTGATACTGACCCATTGATAGACAACAGATCAATAGCACAAAATAGAGCACCCACAAATTGGCTAGAAGAGAAATTATTAATATTAGATAACATTTCAGGAGAGAAAGGATGAAGGATTTAACGAATGATATTGGGGCAAGAAGCCAGACATTTGGAAAACAACAACAAATACGAAATTATAAATCCACCTCAAAAATTATATATTATACACAAAATATTACATCTAAAAATTAACTTTCAAACAAATTTAAAAGCTAATTCTAAAACAACAGTAAGTTTTAAACATGTGTTGTTACTTTTTCTTGCCTGAATCTATTCTCCCTTCTTGTTTTGTTTTGTTTTTTTGAGACAGGGTCTCACTCTGTTGCCTAGGCTGGAGTCCAGTGGCCCAATCATAGCTCACTGCAACCTCGAACTCCTGGGCCCAAGCAATCCTCCTGCCTCAGCCTCCCAAAGTACTAGGATTACAGATGTGAGCCACTGTACCCAGCCTAATTTTGGTAGTTTTGGGTACCTAACTTTTTTTAAAAAACAAGGTATTGCTCTGTCGCTCAGGCTACAGTACAGTGGCATGATAATAGCTCACCACAACCCCAAACTCTTAGGCTCAAGCTATCTTCCTGCCTCAACCTCCCAAGTAGCTGGGACTACAGGCTGTGCCACCACACCTGGCTCATTTTTTGTAGAGATGGGGTCTTGCCGTATTGCTCAGGCTGGTCTCAAACTCCTGTGGCCTCAAACGGATCCTCTCGCCTCGGTCTCTCCAAATGCTACGATTACAGGCAGAAGCTACTATACCACACCCACCTGCTAACATTTATTTTTAAATGGCTTTGAATTTTTAGATTTATAGACTAAGTCTTTCATGTTTTGAAAAGGATGCCAAGACATTAAAATTAGTGGGTGATTTTAAATGATTGAAATTGGAATAAAATTAAAGAATGGGTTCCTAATGCTGTAGGATCTAATCAGCAATTTAGTCTGCCTAAAGACACTTCGATGAGCCTATATAGACACTTCCAATAGAAGGGTTTTTGCTGGTGTTTTACGATTTTTCCTTTTTCCTATGAATGAAAATTTCTAGATTTAAAGTAACAGTAAATATTAGTAGATCTTGAGCTAATGAATTTAATGGATATCATATGTATGTAAAAGAAACTTTCTTAAACCTCTTAGAATGAATTATTTTTAT